CGCGCCCGGCTCTGGGAGTGGGGTCGTTGGTAGGGGTCCACTGGGGCCGGGCCGGAACAGCCATGTAGAATGCAATACTGGTTTGGGAAATGAAATCATGTCCAGTGCCAGCAGTGCCATGCAGCGTGGCACGTATGGCTGTTGTTCAAGCACGCACAAAAAATGTGACATTGTCCCAACGACTGCAGCGTCGCACTTTCAATAACGCATTCGTTTTAGGAAGTGATTTAAGAACACAGGTTGTGGAAGCCTGTACCTTTTGTTCATCCATGTCGTTACTCGGAGACGGGCCCTCGGCGCCTGCGAGACGCAGGGTAGGCCAGCCCGCAGATCACATATGCACTGGAAGAAAGGTGCTGCCTAACTACCAGGCGCCATCAGAGCTTTCTAATTACTGAACTTGACTGAGCGTTGGCTAAAAGGTCGACTCTGCAAAACCATGGGTATAAAAACTCGGTGACTCGGAGGTTTAAGGCCAAGTGTTTGACGGAGTCCGTTTGTTTTATTCAGTGTACAACTTATGACTTGCCGATGGATTGCAAATGTTTAACCAAAATTAGGTCAGTCAGACAACCTTAATAAGATCTTTCAGCATTAAAAACTACTCTTAAAAACCTTAATATGATTCAATAAAGCAGTCGGTCTCAAAATTAAAACCTAAAATTTTTAATCCCCGACGAAACTGCAGTCATTGGCATAAACTTTACTGTTAAATTTAAAACTGTTAATTTGTTTCGTATACAGTTCAATTGGATTACAAATGCAATGAGTCAGAGAAAATAATCGTTAAGAACAGGGCTGTCTTTTTTTCAACACGATAAATAAGGCTGTTCTTTTAAGGGGAGGGAAAGACAGCCAGCTATGCTACTAGTTCACGAACAACCAGCGAAAGAGCGGGTAGGCACCGGGCACAGCACGGCACAGCAGGCCCGACCGGCTGTCGGCTATTCCATGCAGGCCTTGCTGTCCTGTGTGCACGACACGTTTATGACCACAGCCACACCAACGAACACGCACAAGCGCGCGAGAGTACACAACACAGGGGCTGGCTGGTGAGCCCCCGGCGGTACTTGTGGTAGAAGTAGTTTCCTGATCGCAGCCAGGGGAGGTGGAGAGGAGACAAGTGCCGCCCCCCTCCCCCTCTCTCTCTCAAAGTGTTGCGGGCCTCTCAGCCTGCTTGGACGTTTCAGGGTGAGGCAGATGCATTAGGAGGACTAGCTAGTTAGCCAAGTATAGCAAGGAAAATGCCTCCTGCTTTTGCTTCTCCCATGTGTCTACACACTTTTCTCACACCCTTCTGGGCACAGATCATATT